AGGTACAATTTCACTAAATTGGCGAAAGTTTGTTGTAAAATGTTGAATAATTTGCATCGTTAGATGAAATTTATGGTTTTGGGTTTGGGTATTTTACTTTAGGTGCCACAAGAGTACGTGGGTGAAAATGATTTTACCGAGGGGGGAAGACGTAAACGATGGTCGGAAGTTTGGAAAGATTTTACCGAGGAGAAGAAACCAGATGGGTCGACTGGGGCTAGATGTAAGCATTGCTTGCTTTTGTTATCGGCTAGTAGTAATTCAGGGACTAGTCATTTAAATCGTCACATTAAGCTACATTGTCCAACAAATCGATATAGAGATGCTAGACCTAAAGCAATGCTTCATCCTTCTGCTACCTTGAAACAATATGGTGATTATTCGAAGGAGTTTAAATTGGATCAGGATGTCAGTCGTAGAAATCTTGCGAAGTTGGTGATTAGTGCCGGATTGCCATTTGACATTGTGGAGCAACCCGAATTCTTTAATTTTGTTAAAAGCCTTCAGCCTTCTTTTCAGTTTGTTGGGAAGGAAATAGTTAGAAGGGATTGTGTTATTCTGTATGAAGAAGAGAGGAATAAGATTCACAATATGTTGAAGAATTTAAATTCTCGTGTCAGTTTCACTTTTGATATGTGGGTATCAGAGCAAGATGTTGGATATATGGCCCTCTATGCACAATTTATTGATTGTGATTTTGTCTTAAGGAAAAAAATACTCAATTTCAGAAGAATTGCCTATCCTCATGCAAGTAATGATGAAATTGCAAAGTGCATTGGTGAATGGGAGTTGGATGAGAAAGTTTTTGCACTTGTGCTTGATGATTCTACAACTAATGATATCTTGGTGACAAGGTTAAAAGAGAACTTGGGCGGAAAGTTGCTAGCTAGTGGAAATTACTTGCATATAATAAGTTGTGCAAACTTCTTAAATAGCGTGGTAGAAGATGGACTGAAAGTGTTGCATCTTGCTGTTGAACACATTCGAAATATTGTTAAACATGTGATCAGCACTCCGTCGTGTATGCAAGCGTTCAATGAATGTGCACAACAGTTTCGAATTGATACTGACAAGGGTTTGTTTCTAGATGTTTCCACAGAGTGGAATACTACATATGATTTGCTTGAAAGTGCACTGTACTATAAGGAAGCACTTATTAGATATGCTCTAATATTTCATCATTGTACTGATGCTCCTACACATGATGACTGGGAGAAGACTGAGGCCATAATGAAGTTTTTAAAACCTTTCGTTAATGCAATTAACGTGCTTTCAAGGGCTAACTTTCCCACTGCAAATTTGTACTTTAGAGAAATTTGGACTATTCGACAGCTTTTGCAAGACGAAATCTTTAACTGTGATGAAGTGGTAAGGAACTTGACATTGGAAATGCAAACAAAATTTAAGAAGTATTGGAATGAATGCAACATGATTCTAGCAATTGCGTCTATTTTAGATCCCCGGTTCAAGTTTCTATTTGTTCAATATTGCTATGAAAGTGCATTTGATGAAGAGCATGCAAAGGTAAAGGTCAAAGAAATTCGGGATTGCCTTTACAAGCTTTACAATGATTATGAGAAGGCATTAAAAGTAGTGGAACAGTCTATGCCCAGTGAAAGCAGCAGACAAGTAGTGAGTGCACTCAGTGAAAGCCCAAGTACACTTACGGGTAAGAGAAAGCTTGAGTCAGAATTTGCAACGTACTTGTCCCAAAATCTCCTGAAAAGGGCAAAAAGGAATGAAATGGATGCTTACTTGGAGGATGATGTACTTCCTACTATGGACGATGAAGACTTCAGTATTTTGATTTGGTGGGAGAAGAGTGCAGATGTGTATCCCGTTTTATCAATGATGGCTCGAGATATCTTAGCTATTCCAGTTTCTAGTGTCACTTCTAAGTCAGCTTTTAGGGCATGGCGGAAACTTATAGATCAGTATAGCAAATTTGTAGATTCATCTATGGTAGAGACCTTGATATGCTCACAGGAATGGTTGCATGCTGATTACCACCCTGGTAAAGTTGTTTTGTTAATTCAAAGTTTGGTTTTATTTGCTTATAAATTGAGGGGTTTTGTTATCTTAGATCCTCAAGTCTTTGTTAATTTTGTATTAGACCCCAATCTTCATATTTCTAAATTAGACCCCAAAATCCATTATGTTATTTTAAAGAAGACTCCCGAATCTATTAAGTTGTCTTAAATAAGACCCTCAACTCTATTAAGGTGTTTTAAGTAAGACCCTCATTTCAAAGGGGTCTACCTTAGAAATATGAAGATTTGAGGATCTAATATAGAATTAACAAAGATTTAGGGGTAATAATGAGAAAACCCCTAGATATTAAATGGGTGATTATTTTTTAGCAGATGTATGTCCAGACTTCCATGCTTCCAGTGTTGTAGATGAAGAGCTGTTTGATAGTTGCTTACCTGAATGAAGACCGGAAGAGGTATTGTTAATTAGTTGTCTTAAAATTATCATGCAAATGTCGTGACATGCATCCCCCTCCCACCCCCCACATAGGTGTGACGATGATGAACAAGAATGTATAATGATTGAGGAAGTCCATGATTTTGAAGTCGTTGCGATTGTATCTTTCATCTTCATCACAGTGTAGAATTCCATTGCATTGAGGACTAGGGGCTCAATGGATCCATCTACAGGTGACATCGTTATTTTCAAAAGATTATTGACTGCTTCTGGATACAACGTGACACATTGAGGTTCGCTATCTTTACATTTCTCTGACCTCCAATATCCATCTGATACTTTCTGATATCATCTGCTGAGCCAGAATCACTTCGCTCCAGAAATCACACGCAGAAATTTCTGATTTGGTTTGAAGCCTGAATATTGGCAATCGAGTTGGATGGATTTGATAAAAAGGGGAAGAGATGTTTCATAATTCGGGAATCCATAAAAATTGCAACTATTGTAACCATCGCCTGTTTTTTTCCGTATCCAGCAATCATAAGTAATCTGTTTGAATTGTTTTTGAGATGTGCCAAGAAATTGTTCTGTATCTTCTTTTGCTTCAAAGTAGGTCTTTTTATTCAGAAGTCATGCCCTGAGCCTATTTTTTTGTTCAAAGTGGTACCTTCAACATGAGAGAATCAAATTTGCGTGGTGTCTAATTATAATGAGAAAATGCCTTCAACATCAACAGGTTCTCATTCCCATAGTCTATATTAATCCAATTGTACAACGTATAATATCCTCGTGTATTATCCTTTTTCCTATTTTAGCAGTTGTAGTTAAAAGTGTGGTTTCTCCACTACTTTTTAGCAGTGAAGAGGATCCAATCTCTTTTCCGATAAAATTTGGGTGAAACAAATGGATAGCTAATAAGTACCTGTTCACATCATCCTGTTAAGTTTGTTGGGGTCAACTATCAGCTGACAGATGATTAATAGAATTTGAAGAGAGCTCTTGAGTATATCTTCACTTATTTGTTCCAAATGTCAAAAGTATCTCAGAGGAGGTTTAACTCGTTGGTATTAGGGGTGCATTTGTGACGTAGTGCGGAAGTAATAGCCTCGGAATCCATCAAGGAAAATCTTCGAATTCATGAAGAGCTTCGAATCCACGAAGTAAATATTGAAGAAAAACGAAATTTTATTAATCAAAAGTTATGCCTCTTACAAGACTCTTCTTAAATAGAAAGAGAAACAAGACTCTTACAAGGACTCTAATTCCTACAAAGACTCTTAACTTACCAAAATTGGTAAAGAATTCCTAAAACATTAAAACTCCTAAAAAGACTCATTATGATTAGGAAAGTCCACCGGTCAAATCTGAGATCAAATCGGATTTATTTCCTAAACAAAACAGACTCCTAAAATATTACTAAAAATAGTAAAAAACGGATAAAAATACAAATATCTCTTAAACCGTAAGGAATTTGGCGAAACTGAGAACGCAAAGTGAACCCGAAGGGGTAGGTTTGGATGGCTCCGTCTCGTCGAGATAGTCGATTTTCATATATAATTCGTCCAATTCCGACATACGGTTTGAAAGTTACGACCGTTTCTTCGAAACAAGTTATTTTCTTCGACCAGGTCCGTCTTTTGGGCTTGCGACTGTCCCACTTTGACATAAATGTGTCTGCTGTGTGTTCTACATCAGTCCCCCCTGCTTGAAAAGAGCTCGACCCCGACCTTACACTTGCATGAATAGCTGTTTCTTCTGGTGGGTAATACTCAAACAAATCTGCAACATTGAAACTAGGAGAAATACCCAAATCTGTAGGAAGGTCAACCACATAAGCATTGTCGCTAATCTTCTTCAGTATTTTGCATGGACCATACTTCTTATTCTTCAGCTTGTTGTAGGTGCCCACGGAAAAACGTTCTTTTTGCAGAAACACCATCACCATGTCTCCCTCTTCAAACACCTTCTTCCTCCTGTAGGCGTCAAAAAATGCTTACAGACATCCAAATACCACTCAAGGCAAAGAAAAGACGATAAACGCCACTCTCTTAATCAGAAGGGGATCATTCAAAGGAAGCGAAACAACATGGAAGAACAATGTACACACCAACAGGCAGTACATGGTGCCGCGGCTAAGGCGAGGCAGGACGTGGTGTCGCGGCTAAGGCGCGGCAGCCCATGGTGCCGTGGCTAAGGCGCGGCAGCCTAGGGTGCCGCGGCTTAGGCGCTGCAAAGCCTATGGTGCCGCGGCTATTACAAGGGGTGCTGCGGCGGTTACAAGACAGTTGTATGATGATTTTTTGAAGCCCACGTGGCAGCATATCAGAAATAGAACGTGTGCTGACGTGTACAAGCAGTTAAACCACGAAAAAAGTGGTTAAGGGTCGTGGGAGAACGGTTTCAAGCACGATGAAACATGCTGGTAACCGCCTCTTTGGCCGTGGCAGTCCACACTGCCGCGCCAATAGCCGCGGCAGTGTCGACTGCAGCGGCCAAAGAACAGTCACCCGGTCGGTTATTTCGCCCCCGATTCAACTGTTGTGCACTCCTACCCCTATAAATACCTCCCTAGACACGAAATAAAGAGGAGAGAGCAGATTGGAACAGAAAAGGCTTGAGCTTTTAGTGATTTTGAGGAAGAGAGAGAGAGTCTTCATTCTTCGTAAACACTTTCAAGAAGCTTTTGGCGATTCCCAAAGATCTAAGCTCTGACTTGATCTTTGGAAGAGTGAACATCTTACATCGATAAGATATTTGCTTAAAGATTCTTACTTCGATAAACGAAGGAAGAATTTCCAAAACCTTCACGATTCAATCAGAATCTGTGAATTGGTGGTCCACGAGTCAAAGCACTCCCGGCACAGGCAAAGTCTCACAAAACAAGAATCGATAAACGATTTTTGTGTTATTTTATCAAGAGTTGTAATTTTCATTTTTGTTGTGTAAAAGACGTCTTATAAAAAGACTATCTCTTTCGAATTTGTTGTAATCGATCAAAGATATAATGAATTCCACAACGAGACCAACTTTTGACGAAAACAAACTGGCGACCACAGTGGGAGCCAACGGTCTCGCTGCCGAGACCATCGTGTCGCAGCCGATCAAGATACTGGTTGAGTCCATGGTTGAATATGAATTCGACCAAGCAAAGTTTGAGGAATATCTGTCATCCTCATCCTCAAAGTCTTTCTCGCCTCACAAATGTAGGAAGATTTCATCTTCTAAGAAGGTTTTCAAGTTTTCGACTCCGTCGAACACTACAGATGAAGACTCTTGCTTGATTGTCGCTGAGGATTCTACTCGCAACCTCTCTGCTCATAATGACTCTTCTCCAATTAAGGAGTCATTCGATCGAAGTTCGCCAACTCTGACGAAGAGGGCTCGTCAGAGGCGACGCCAACACCGCGCTCGTCAATTGGCTAAGGCCTTGGAACAAACCGATGGAGTTCGTTACTACGCGGACTTAGAGTCAAGGAGGCATCGAGTGGTTCAGTTGTCTCAACGACCAATCACTCATATCTCTGCTAAATTAACGACGGATGAATGGACCTTCGTCAAAAGGGCGCGCTCGACCCTCAAAGAACGTATACAAAAGCGACGTGCGAACGTTGCTCATGCCCGTGCTCTCTTACAACAAAGACGAGAAAGAAACAAGGAGATGGTGGCCAAAGAACCACCAAAACTTTGCAAAGTTTGGATTCCAAAGTCTGGAGTTGTGCAAAATCAGCATTCGGAGCCCGTTAAGACTCCACACCCGCAAGGGGGTGGTTCTAAACGTGTGACTCCTGAAATAACCTTGGATCGCTCAAAGGCAACAATAATTTGTCCTGAGAATGCCAACAAGGTTTTACACCCCCAGAAGAAGACGTGTTCGCCAAAAGACATCGTTATGCCTGGGAGGTCATACCAACAGACGATAGGATTTTCCGGCAATCATACCGATGAATCGTACTATCAAGCTGTGGGTTTGAATAGATTTCGAAAGAGAATTATTCAAGAAATAAACTCTCATTGTTCCTGTGCGCGACTTATAAGAGCAGCATTGCCGGAATGTGACTACTCCAAACGAGAAGCCATCCTGCAAAGAGTCTCAATGTTCCAGAGGCTTTTCACCGAAATGTCGAAGCCTAAGCCGAGACATTTTCGCAAGAGAAGATCAACTGTCCAAAAGGACGAATTTCCTGAAGTCACTATCAACATGGTTGATAAAAGAAAGTCTAAGCAGCATTCAGGTGACTCAAATCCTGACTTTTCCCCGAGAGAAAAAGTCAATCCAAGAATTACTCAACGGATGTCTCGACTCCAATTAAGAGCCATCAGACGCAGGGATTACAAGAGAATGCATGAAGGAATATCCTCGGAGGATGAACTTTCAGACACTTGTTCAGCCATCGCTTCGGATGATACAGTATCCAGCACAGGGCAAACCAGAGAAGTACTCACAATCACCTCTGATCAATTCGTTCAAATACTTCAAGAAGCTCTAGCCAAGCAGCGTGAAGAAATTAGAGCTGAGATGAAGACAGAGATGGAGTTAGCTATCCAACAAATGAGAGAATTGCTAACTCAACGCCCTCAACCTCCTGATTCCAGTCAGCGAGCTGAATCCAGCCGCCACACTCAGAAAGTTATAGATGATAGCGATCCAGAAGTGGATAGTCAGCGAGCTGAATCCAGCCGCCACACTCAGAAAGTTATAGATGATAGCGATCCAGAAGTGGATGAAATCATTATGGCTGATACACCTCCCAATGATAAAAACACTGGGGGTGGTTCAACGGATCCTCCCAACAACAATATTGGGGGTGGTTCAATTTCACCTTTTAATAACACTGTGGGTGGCCCAATTATTTCTGCTCAACATCACTCAAAGAGAGATGAAGATGAGGACAAGAAAATGCAAGACCTTGAACATAAAATCAATGCTTTGATGTCCGCTCAGGAAGTGAAGAAGACGGGTATTCCGTGTCCCTATCCAAGAGAATGGGATTCAATACCGTACCCGACAAAATTCAATCTGATCAACTTCACACCGTTTGATGGGAAGAGCTCGCCTATTCAGCACTTGATTTATTTCAAATCTCATTTGGGCATGATCTCTGGAAACGAGGCTTTAATGGTCCGGTCATTCGTTGGCACCCTTCGTGGGCCCGTCTTCGATTGGTACCGACGTCTTAAGCCAGGGAGCATCAATTTCTAGTGTCACGCCCCGCATCCCAAAATACCGGGAATCGGAACGCGAACAAGCCCGCGACGTATTAGATTGAGAAGAAATATACACTATTATTTTTTTTTCTTTTCTTTTCTTCTCAACCTAATACGCTAAGCGTCTGGAAACAATACAATGCAAAGGCACAGGTCCCCGATCACAGTAGCGAGAATATAATAAACAACACAGACAGAAAATATATATATCACAACTGAAATATCATCCGAGACACAAAGTTTGGGTCAAACATGCCCTTATTACAAAGCAGTCCAACTAAAATAGGAAAATACATAGTCCGACAAAATAAGAAGGAAGTACTGCAAAATAACTAAGTCCATCGAAAGACTAAAGGGTAAGGTACTACATAAGTAATCTAGTGTCCATCAGTGATTACGTAACAGAAAAGGCTAAGCTTCCGTCTGTTCTTCTGTTCCA